GGTGGGAGGAGGAAAGAGAAACGGAAGGGGAGTGGCGCCTCCGTCGGGCCGGGCCCGGAGGGGCCCCGGGGGGCGGGGGGCGGCCGCATCAGGTTTGGTTTCTGAAGAACCTAGGGCGCCAGGCGGCGGCCCCCTGCCCGCCAGCGGGGGGGCTGCCAAAAGGCCCTGTCCTGTCGCGGTACGTTCGCTTGTCGCCCGACAGCGAAATCGCGCTCGATCCTCGACCCTCGGGGGGGGGGGGAGACCGCCCCCTTTGGGGGGCTCCCGCCTGTCGGGGGCAACCTACAAGTGTTTTGGGTTTGCTCACCTTCTGGGGGTACTTCGCAGATTCCTTTTTTGGCGCGCCGCCCCCGGGGGCGACTTCTGGGAAAGGCTCGGGCAAGCGTGTGCTGATGTTTCAAGGAACCGCGCCCCCAAAGTAGGTCGGAAAGTAGGTTTGCAGAATTTGTTTTTGCAAAGTAGGTTCCAAAGAAGGTTTCCGGATTCCAAAAGTAGGTTTTCGGTAGCGCAAAGTAGGTTTCGGAGGCTTCAAAATAGGTTTTAGGAGCCTCAAAGTAGGTTTCGGAGGCCTCAAAGTAGGTTTCAAACCTACTTCAAACCTACTTCAAACCTACTTCAAACCTACTTCAAACCTACTTCAAACCTACTTCAAACCTACTTCGAACCTACTTCAAACCTACTTCAAACCTATTTCAAACCTACTTCAAACTGTTTTCGGAAGCATGGAAGGTCAGGGATTGAAGGTAGGAGGAGGAGGAGGTGGAGGAGAATGTGGGGGAGGAGGAGGAGGAGGAAGAGGAATGGGAGAGGAGGAGGAGGAGGTGGATGAGGAGAGCCGGGAGGAGGATGTGGAGGAGGAAGAAGAGGAGGAGGAGGAGGAGAGCCAGGTCGAGGAAACGGAGGGCCAGGAGGAAGGAGGAACAGGAGAGAGGAGTAGGAGGAGGAGGACCAAGAGGACCCGGAGGATCGGGCGGAGGATGAGGGGCGGATGAAGGGGGGATGAGGGGGAAAAGGTAGGAACAAGATGGGGAATATGAGGGGGAGGAGGAGGAGGGGGGGGAGGAGGAGGAGGAGGAGGAGGAGGGGGGGGCGGGGAGGGCGGGGAGGATCGGGGGCAGGAGGATGAGAACATGGACGCTGCGGGTGATGAGGGAGAGGATGGTGAGGCAAGGGGGGCGACGATGGGAAGCATGATGCGATTGATGACGAGTGGCTTTGGGGAGGGCAGAATGACCTGGGGCGGGGCGGCCGTGATAATGAGGGGGGGCCATGGCGTGTCCGAATCCCGCCGGGACATGGCATGGGGGTTTTGCTGGGGCGGTGATTGTTGGTGGCGGCCCGGTTTGTCCAGGATGCCTTGAATTGCGTTGTTCGCCGTGCCAGTTGCTGGGGCTGCCCCAATTGATTTTTGGGTCACCCATTGTCGTGACTGCTTTTCTGGCGGGTCGTGTTTGCGGAGGTGTTCTCCGCAGCCGCTCTCGTTCACTTTCTATGTTTAGTGCCCGAGGGTGCATCGCGCGAAAAGTGTCGCGGCCCCTGCCTGACATGCAGCCCTGGCGCCCTTCCCCTTGCAAACCTTCTTGGCGAGGTTACCGCGGCCAGGGAACGTCCCCAGGTGCACTTGCCAGGGCTACTTTGGTGGATTCGCTTCGCCAACTTAGCTGCCCGCGGCATTTGCGCCGACGCGCTTTGGCAAACCCAGTAGCGGGAGGCTAAATGCCCGATGACACGTTTTCCCCGCGCGTTGCACCTTCTTCCTGGAACTTACTACGCTTGCGAACCTTTCTCCCGAACCTACTTTTGAACCTATCTAAAACCTATATCGAAATGTTTTCTGCTTGCCATTGCCCTGCATCGCTGGGGAAGTCTCGGACCGAGAATGGAGAAATTCGAGGATACTACGTACATGTATCTCGGCATCATCAAGTCGCCGGTCATCGCAAAACATGGCAATGGTTTAGTGTGGATGAGTGCAACGACAAGTTTCAGCGCGACTCTGGGGCGCCAAGTGCCTTGCTGGCGCCCCCCCCGCCGCCGTCGCCCAAGGCGAGACCGTCGGAGAAGGGCCGGGGCAAGAGTGAGCCAAGTGGCTGGAGCTCGAGCAGGAGAGACGACAGCTCCTCCAGGGACCACACCAGTGGCGCTGGAGCCACAGCGATCCCTGGGATGACTCGAGAGTGGAGAGGTCGATGGGGAAGGTGATGGCGCGCAATGGAACCTGCGCGACAAAGTCGACACTGGTCCGCGCTACTTCGTGGAGCGGGTGCGCCAGGAGTACATGGGCACTGAGGCCTGAGCTGGGAATATTTGCCCAGGCGGGGAACGTCGGGTTTCTTCGGTTTCCCTGGCAACCACCGTCGAGCGGTAGGATGCTTTTTGGGGGTTCGCTCCGGTGGCTGTACATATGTACAGGCCAGGTGGGTTGGGGGTCGGGGCAGCTCTGCGGATCCCGCCGCTTGGGGAGTCAATGCGCCCCTTCCGCACCACCATTATTTTGTCCTACCTGCTCTTTCTCCTTGCACGCGCTGTCTGCCTGTTGTGCTGACTTGTTCTGCTTCCGCAGCTATACACTTTGGCTCTAGGGAAACGGAAAAAGGAGCGAGCCTGCGGCGCGCGCGCGTGCGTCGGCCGGCGGGCCAGCCTCCTCCCTTCAGTCTTACCTTAGTGTACGCTTGACCGCACTATCCTTTCTTACCCATGTCATCTGCGGAGCTCATTGACCATGATATATCATCGGAACATATCGCACGGATTATGAATATCCAGGCAAAAGATTGGAAGAGGAAGGCGAGGGGGATGAGGAGGAGGAAGAGGAGGAGGAGGAGGAGGAGGAGGAGCAGGAGGAAAAGGGGGAGGACGATGAGGAGGAGGAGTGGGAGGACCTTTTTGGTGGACCTTTTTGCAAAATCACCAGATATGCGCGGGAGGGGGATGAGGATGAGGAAGCTGAGGAAGAGGAGGCGAGGCCGTGCGGACCTCCTTGGGGAATCCTTGGGGCCACCCCAGGCCAGGGACACCTCTCTGGCGACGCCCGGCCTTCTCCGATTTGGCACGCGTCCTTGCCCAGGGCACCAAAAAACATCCAACGGCCACGTCTTCGTCGACGGACTCGGCATCAGAGTCTCTGTCGCGCATGGAGCAGCTGCGGGGGGCCCTTGCAGCAAGTGCGGCGGGGCGGAGCGAGCGCGGGACCTGTCCCAGAGCACCCAACCATCGTTGATGCCCGCAGCCAACCTGGCTGCCACACCACAATCATCGATGTGCATACTGGGGCTTCGGCCGACTCAGCTGCGTCTGCTTCGCGGCCTGCGCCACACCTCATCTATGGCAGCGAGCTGCCAGGTGCTCCCGCGCCATCTTCGCCCGCCTCCATAATCGCTTCCGCGAATCGAAATATTCGTGTGTGTGGGTGTGTTCTTCCTCCTTCTCGTTTTCCTCTGTCCGCGTCCGAATCCTCAGCTGCTCGTCAGCGCAGGAGGGCCGTTGCGGGCGGGGGCCCGACACCTGGTGTTGCTGCGCCGATGTCTATAAGGCATCCTGCTCCTCATGGTCTGACCCCCCCCGCTGCTTCTCAATCTTCACAAGTAGGGTCGGGAGCTTTTGTTTGGCATGTCGCGTCACCAGTCCTGGCCCACCACGCTCCGGCACGATGCGCTAAGCACGTTTCAATCGTAAGCGTCAGCGTTCCGAGCTGTTTTCAGCCCCCCGTCTCGCGGAGCGGAGCGACCCGCTATTGGCGAGCAGGGCAGCGTGTCGGCGGGGCCGCCGCCGCGACACGCCAAGCAAGAGCTCCCGACAGTATGTAAAGAGGGGCGACGCTGCTTTAACTTGCGCTAACCTCGCCTCCCGTGTCCGCGATGGCGCTGCAATTTTCATGCAGGGCCTCTGTTGTCACAGGTGCGCGTGGACTATTGGCACGGTGGTCTTCGTGGCCCGTTGATCTTTGCGGCACGTTGATGTGCTTCGCAGGTTGAGCTTCACGTTGGTCTTCGGCTGTCCGCGTCCCCCCCCGATTTTTTCCCCTGTCTAAAAACAGACGTGCGCTAAATTGAATTATCAAAAAATGCACTGAAGTGCAACAGAGGCACGCTACAGTCGGACCGTGGTATATGATCGCGGTCCGTTCGGGAAGGGTATCCTCATGTTCTTCGTGATTGTTGGATGTTCTTGTGCACCCTGCCGTGGGACAAAAATGAAGTGCCGCCTTGCCGCAGTCAGGGACCACGCCCAAGGCGTTTCCGAGGACGAGCTAGAGGGGACCGAGGACGAGGAGGAGCAGGACGAGGGGGAAGGGGGGGTGGATGAGGAGGAGGAGGACAAGCTAGTTGCGCTCGCATCATATCTGACGTCCTACCCCTCCCTCCCATCCCTCACCATGGCGTAGATCTCCCTTCTATTCGCACAATCGGATGTCGCAGCATGGCATAGCATTACATGGCATAGCATGGTGTTGAAGATCAACGCGTAGCCTGACGTAGCACGGCGTGGCGACGCCCCAAAGTGGTGGGGGGCTTCTGCGGGTCAAAAAATCAACGAATCGACAATGCATGTGGAATCATTTTGTCGGGGGGCATTTTTTAGATTTTGGGGCCTACTTGGAAGGACCGAAAACCATGCCGTGGCATGGCGCTGGAAATAATGACGCCAGCGCTGCAGCGGGAGCACAATGCGGAACGAGCGGAAGCGCGGAAATGAGGCCAGCGCTGCAGCAGGAGCACGATTCGGAACGAGCGGTTTCCCAAAATGAGGCCAGCGCTTAAGCGAGAGCAGCATGTTGACAGAAATCCAAGCGTAAACCCGTTTCCCGGGAATCCTTTGTGCAAACATCCCATACGCGGAGAGGGGCCGAACATTTCCCTGATGCAACCAGGGGAGAGAGGAGAGTAGTTTTCATATTGTGAAACTGTGGAGGAGGAGGAGGAGGAGGAGCAGGAGGAGGAGGTGCGCTCTCGCCCCAGCCCCACCCAGCGCCGCCGCCGGCCCGTGGCGAGCGCGCGCAGGTCTTGCGCGACGGCGGCGAGCAGATAGCCAAGGTCAAGGTCGCGGGGGCGCGGGCTGCGCGCGCGGGGGGGGGAGGGCGGCGCAGAGCAGCGAGGGCGACGAGGAAGAGGCCCCCCCCCCCAAGACTGCAACCCCTGGGGCCTTAGTCCCCTGCTGATGCCGCGAGCCCTCCTTTTCATTCGCCTCCTCCTCGTCCTCCTCGTCCTCCTCCTCCTCCTCCTCCTCCTCCTCCTCCTTCTCCTCCCCCTTCTCCTTCCGTAGCCATTTTGGCTCAAGGTCTCCATGTCGCCCAGCGGCCGCATGGATACCGCTGGTCCGCGGACAGGTCCAAGTGTTTCTCCTCGCCTATTCTGGGGGAGTTGGGCGCCCCCCCATCAGCACTGCTCTCGCTCATGGGTGGCCGCCGCCGCAAAGACAAGAAGCCCCGCAGGCATGATCGTCGTGATGACCAGTCTGTTGAGACGTCCACACGCTCGGATTCCGATTCTGCTCGTGCTCCTCGTCGCGATCGACGTGATGAGCGTCGGCCTCATCCGAGCCCCAGGGCAGCGAGCACACAACGGTCTCGCAGCGCTGGCCGCGGCTCGGGACAAGACCCCGCGGGAGGCTCGATGTCCCGTGCTGACATGGAGGCGCTCGAGATTTGTCCGACCTTCCCTGTCACCCAGCAGGCCGCTGCCGACGATGCTCGGGTCCACCGCGGCAGCGCTCCGTTTGTACCTTGAGCTGCTGCCGCAGTTCCTGGGGCGCCTGTCGTCGGGCTCGCAACTCCTGATGTCGAAGAGGGTGATGTTCAGTGTTGGGCGCGCGGGGCCGACCCGTGGGCTCTGCATCGTCGTGGCGTTTCTGGGGCTGTCCCTCCCCTTCCTGCTGGCGGCTCTGCGGCGGCGGCGGCTGGTTGCGACATCCCTGGCTTGTCCGAGACGCTCGAGCGCTTCAAACTGGACATCATTGCGGAGATGGCCCGCGCCTCGGCCGACTCCATCGCGAAGACGGTGCGCTTGGAGTCCCCGCGGACTATCACGAACGTGGTCCAGCCCCTGGTCGCCCAGCTTGACGCGTCGATGGAGCAGCGTTTCAAGGCGCAGGAGCTCCGCATGGTCGAAGTGGAGAGGCGGTTGGGGTTGGCAGAGTCCGCACACACGTCCCTCGCGGATCGCTTCGCGAAGCTGGAGCAAGAGCTGGACTTGGCGCGGGCGGCTCCCCGGGAGCCCATCGCCAAGACTGCGGAGTGGCAGCGAACCACTGACCCCGGCATTTTTGGCATCTCCGCCCGTGAAGACATCGGCAATGACTTGGTTGCATATGCGCTGTCCGACTGGATGGGTGCTGCCAACTCTGAGGCGTGAAAAGACTACGAGCTGGAAGGTGAGGAGCTTGGGCGCAGATTCTTCTCCGATGCAAAGGCCTCGCCGTCACCTGCGCCTCTCGCGCCCGCCAGGCTCATGGTCTCCTTCGTGATGCTCGCGGTGTTTGGCGCCAGTTTTCGGCTCCGATGCCTGGTTGGCGACGCGCCCCTTCTTCGCCAGCGTCAATCGCAACAGGTCCGAGATCTCGAGAGAACGCAACACCAAGAAGCTCCGCGACAAGCTGCAGAGTCTCCTTGGGAAGCGTGTCTTCATGGACAAAGGCGCTGGCACATTGTCTGTCGACTGGGAGGTCATTGCGCGTGTCGTGGTCGACCCGACCGACCCGCCGAAGGTGCAGTGGAATTTTGACGATCTTTCTGATCTCAATTTGGTGCGAGCCGACTTGGACAGAGCTGCCAATGACATCTGCTTGCCCAGGCGCATTGAGTGGAGTGAGTAACACCTTCTGCAACTCCGACCAGCTCGTGTTCAACGGCTGGAACTGCCGTGCCCTGCTACATCATCAAGCACATGCACTTCATCGCAAGGCTGAAATTATGCGATATTTGGTTCCCCCCTCCTACCATCGCGGCCCTTCAGGAAGTTCACGGACCTGCCGCTGCAGTCGAAGAGCTCCTTTCACGTTTACGTGGTGAGGCCGCAGTTGTTGGCTCTTCGGGCTGCGGCGGCGTCTGCACTCTGGTCCCGAAGCACATCCTGTCTTTCGTGCAGGTTGCGCCGATTGAGCTCGTTGCGGGCAGGGTCCTATGCATCGAGCTCGTTCGTCGACACTCAGGCTTCTGCTGGCACCAGTGGAACTCCACAATCATAGTCTTGATGCGAACGACTTCCGCGGCATTCAGCATGCGTTTCAGGCTCAACTCAACCAGGCCAGATGTGGTCTCATGAAGACGGGCCTCCTCATGATTGGTGACTCCAATATCGCTGATGAGGAGGTTGACTACTCAACGGCCGAGCTCGTCTACGTTCGTGGACGGCCACGTCAGTCCGCTGATGGCCCCACTGGCGCTGCGGCTGCTTGCTCGTCTGCTGGCAGGCAGTCTCGCCCTGGCCGTCAAAGTGGACGAAGATCTTCCGCCAGCTCGCGGAGCGTGTCGCGCCTGGCATCAGCCACTTCCACGTTGGTTCCAGGACGGGCTCCCGCATCGACAAGTGCTCCACGGCGACCCCGCCCTGGCTTCTGCGCCAGCTGCGGCAGCGCGCCCGACGTCGAGGCGAGCCGCAGGAGTTCCACGACGCGATGCAATCCGACCATGTGCCGCTCGCGGTCTCGTGGCAGACGCGGGCCTGGGACTCTGGGGCAGAGCAGCGCTGCGCGAAGATCCCGAGGGGCATCTTCACCGACGAGCTTTACCCGTCGATCCTGGAGGAGCACGAACGCCTGGCCGGGATCGGGGATTTCGGCACGTCCACCTGCAATGCGAAATTCCCGTTTCCAGGCGTCTCTGGCGGGGTCCCTCTCTCGGCGCCGGCGGAGCTGGAGCTGGCGACGCGCTGTCGGCAGGCGGCAGCCCGCGCGGCGCGCGACCTGCAGCTGCGCGACCGCCCGAGGCTGCGTCGCAGTCGCTCGCAGCTTTTTCCGCTCTCTTGCTAGGGCTGTTTGGCGTCGGGATGCTTGTCTGGGCAATATTTTTTTGGCAAAGGCATCAGTGGCTCCGTTCCTTCTTCTTTGTTGATGCATCGCCCTCGCCCATCGTTCTGACCTCTCCTGGCGCCTTTGCCAGAGCTCACTCTGACCTGTAGTTCCAGGAGGCCCAGGCCGAAACTGCTCGGCTACAGCGCGCCGAAGAGGCCGCCAGGGCCCCCGGCAGACGGGCCCGACTTCGTGCCCGCGCGTGAGCCCTTTGCTGGCGAGCCCAGATTTAGTTTCCGTTTTATCGTCGACGTTATTTGGCGGGGGTGGTGGAGGGCGGGACGGGCGTCGTTTTCATTCCGGCTGAGGGCCAGACCGCGGCTCTCCGTGAGTACTGGGGCCCGATCTTCGTTTATATCTATATATATATATATATATATATATATATATTTATATATGTGCAGTCTGTCCCTCGGCGGGGCCCCCAGTACCTGTCCAAATTTGCGCCTGAGAAGGATTTCTCTGGACTCCCTCCGCCGTTTCATCCGACGAGTTGCGCTCGGAACCAGGGCCTGATGGGTTCGCGTGCGCTGCCTGGGGATTCGGTCAAGGTCCTCGGGTGCTTCTCAACGTGTTCCATTGGCTCGCCAGCGGCCAGCGCATGTCTCTTCCCTTGCGCATGCGTCTGCAAGTCTTCATCCCGAGAGGGGTCTTGGAAGGCGACGACAGGCGCTCGGGGGAGTCGTTCGGCATAGGCGGGACACTCGGCCCCGTTGGCCCTAAGAACACGAGTGACAAGATTGTTGCCGGGGTCGCCAATGCTGGGTTTTCTGAGGTCGTTAAAGAATTGGCGCCCCCGTGCAGCGAGGCTTCGTTCAAGGCCGCAGCTGTTTGTATAATGCGTATGAGGTGGACGCCCAGGCCAGGCTAGCCAGCGCGCGAGGGATTCCAGAGGGCGCCATTCTTGCATTCGGCTTTGCGCAAGCTTTCCCTTGTGTCAGTCAGTCCTGGCCCATGTTTGCGCTGCGGCAGATGCAGATCCCTCGAGGATGTTGCCTCGCGGTCCAAGGCTTCTACCATCGCAATCCCCGTTTGTTCTCCGTCCGAGGCCTCCACCTCCATCTCTTCTACATGATTTCAAGCGCGTTGCAGGGGGTGCCCGCTGAGAGGCAGTTTATTCGTCATCGCCATCGACAGCTTTCTGTGGGATTTGTATATCAGTGTGTAGCGGCCTGGGCACGGACAGATTCGCGCCAGCGCAGACGACATTGGTGCCGTTATCTTGCCCCGCAAAGGGTGCCGAGAATCTGTCCGAGTTTTTCGCGACGCCGAGCACCTTGCTGGGCTCGCCCTGCAAGCCACGAAATGCCGCGTGGCCCCTTATGTGCGATCCCCTCACCGACCGCCTCGAATCTGAGATGCGGAGTATCCCGCGCGAATGCTCATCTCGCCCCCGCCCTGGTGCTGTCATCCCGCCTGGTTCGGCTTGTCGGGTGGAGTTCGAAATCGCATCAGAGGTTTTGTATATGGGGTTCTGGCTTGGTCCTGGGGCTGCGTCTCTCCGTAATCTTTGTGCTCTGAACAAGATGGCCGTTCGGACCCGAGCCATCGCGGATGCCAGACAGGATATTTCGACGGGGGTCCAGCTTTCTGAGCAGAGGGCGCCCAGTGTGCCATCGTCTGTCGCACAGCTTGTTCCACTCCCGTGGGGGGTTACCAAAATCGAGAGACAGTTATTGGCCCAGATTTTCAAGTGACCGATGTCGGTTTTCCGCTATTCGGACTGGTGTAACCTCGGAGCCTGGAATGGCCCTCGGGTGAGATCGTTGTTCGTCAGTGCTGCCGCCGCTGCCGTGCGCGCCGCTCTCGTCGCCCTCCCTCTGCGGCCGGCTACCCTTCGAGCGCTGCGTGAAGGTATCCTCGATCATTGCCCCATGGCGTCGAGGGACTCGCCTCTCCTTGCTCCTCCCTTCTGGAGGTCTTCCCCCTCCGCCCTCTACTTGTAAGTGGCAGCGGCGGGCTTCCCTGGTGACCGACGATGGCGCGTTGTCGGGGGCAGGGCGGTTGGGCGGTTCGGGGAAGGCTCGTCGGTCCC